TCAACAACTGAGCCACCCGGTTTTCAGCAATGATCTGGTCGACCCGCCCATGAATGGGAGGGTGAGATAAGGAATAGTTCCTCTAAACTCCTTGTTTTGAGCTTACGCTATTGATGATTGCCCGACTACATCACATTCATTTACGGTCCACATTTGATTGACCGAATTGCTATTCCGAAGATAGTTTTTATCGATCACTGTTTTTGCGCCAGCTATTTCTCTTCTGTGCTGAAATGCGGTTACATGAGGTTTTGTTAGACTCACTTCAGTTCAGTTGATCAACTGTGAGCCGAGCACCGAAGTGCGGTGGATCCAGTTGCCACGACTCACACCATAGTAATAATAATAATTAAAAAAATAACAACGGTGGGATGCTGGGGTTGGTTGCAAATAGAATGTAGGGAAAATGAGTGCAAGAAGAAAATGCGTCAGACTAATCGAAATGGAACAAAAATTGACGGCCAGCTGAAAGAAACCGAATGCAGGAACGCCACTGACTTAGTGACTGCGCCATGTCTGACACGGTCTCCAACCATTGGTGTGGAATGTCCCGAGGCCCCTGTCCAGGAACACGGCACTCACCAGCCTGACTAAGTCTTTCAGCCAATTTCTCCAAGCTTCAATGTCATGTCATGGGCTGGCCACCTCGAGGTTTCGCCCAACTTGGTTCCGTTGCGGCGTATAATGCACGCCGAGGAAGCCGATCGACGGGCATACGGAGGACGTGACCTAGCCAGCGTAAACCACTAAGATCTATCAAACACTCGAGAGAGAAACCAGAAGGCTTCTTGCCAAAAACCAACTGGCGGACCTCAGCACTGCTCACCCTTTGTTCCCACTAAAGGTGAGTAATATTTCACAAGCACCGGTGGTCAAACACGACCAAGCGTTTAATGTCTTCGTCGCGAACTGGCCAGGTCTCTGGTCCATACAGCAACAATAACTCTATCGCAGCGTTATACACTCTACCTTTCAATGACAGGCTGATATCTCGCCGTCTCCATGGATGGTTGAGCCTATGGAAACCCACACGGGCCTTGCTGATATGCGAAGCAACTCCCTCAGTTATGTGACTACCAGAAGTGAGAGCTACCAAGTTAAATGAACCGATCCACCACTTCCAGTGGCTGTTCGGAAATAGCTGAAACCGGAGATGTGTCGGTACATGCTTGCAACAGTACTTTGCCCTTTCAAGGTGCAAAGTACATGCGGAGCCGTGTAGCGCTGCGCGTCAGTGTATCCAGTGTTTGCATAGCCAATGTGTCGGACCCAAGAAGAGCTAGGTCGTCTGCATATTCCAGGTTAGTCAGTCGGTCACCTGGCAGAACTTCTACTCCGGAATAGTCTTAAAGAACCCAGTCATTCTTAACCATTTCGATCATAAAATTGAAGAGGAAAGGTGATATATGACAACCCTAGCGAACCCCACTTGTCGTGGGGAATTCAGGAGACGGTTTCCCCTAAACCCTTACACGTCCTCCGGAATCTCGGCGAAGAGACTTCAGAATAGATAGGAGCTGGCATGCCCTTCGTGTATTGGCAGTTTTCAAGTCATGGAAGACCACCATAGTCGATCATCTATATGTGTTTCTGCTCTAATACTTGGCGAAGAGTAACTATGTGGTCGATGCAACCACGGTCAGTGCGGAAGCTAGCCTGGCTTTCAGTGAATCGGTCGTCACGTGGACCAGTAATTTCGGATGCAAAAGAAGCAAAGCTAATCCTTCGATGATTTTCGCACAAAGTACGCCGACCCTAATAGAAGATGGGCATCTTCAGTGTACCAAGTCATCTTATATAGAAGCGAGTCCAGTTTGCAATGAGTCACGACCATCTTTCGGCAAAGGTGGGGAAAGTCATTGGGTCCCGGAGCCTTGTTTCGTTCTAACACGGCGATCTCATGTCAAGTCTCGTCCAAACTGGGCGGTGTGACATCTACTTCCTACATCGGGTCAAGTAATTCGGCAAGTGGCAGTGTCGCAACAAGCTCAAAATGTTCTGCCTAACTGGCTAGTCGACGATGCTACGAATGGATCAACGGCCCATCTTTCCTAGCTGTTGTCTCGCTAACGGATGGCTTTTTCGAACTCGTGTTCCGGATGAGCTGGAATAGCACTCGATTCTTTTTAATAGCGCTCGCTTTCTCCATCACACGGGACTGCAACCCACCATCGTTCCCGGTCAACTCGAAGACTCCTTGTCAGACGTCTTTTCAGTGAGTTACGGATACGCTGAAATTCAGTGCCCATCGGAACCTGTTTACGTGTTTTGATTTAGCTGTTCGATGCCTAAGAGCTGTACACAGTTACGACGTCTCAAGCCGGGTGTACAGTAAGCGTCAAAGGCATTCTTAATGGCACGCTTGACACGATCCCAGTCAGAGTACGGCTCACCAACCTTATTCCTCATTGGCATTTTAGTCGGCCAGTTCGTTATGATATTGTTGAATGCAGATTGTGTGTTCAAGTTACAGGTAAGAAGGTTAGAGGGTAGGCGCTTCTTTGAAATGGGAAGAGTGAGCGCCACGCGTGCGCGCACTAGAGCATGGTCGGAATCCAGGCATGTGTTCCAAATTGACCGACACTCTCTACTGATGTGCGCCACCTGCCGCTGATGGCAATATGGACAAGTTGGGGCCAGGTCAATGAAGAATTTGGTAGACGCCAGGCGACGCTGTGTGAACGTTTGTGTTGGAAAGCAGTGCTGCTAAGGTAAAGGTTGTGGTGGGCTCACAGTTGTAGGAATCGATCACCATTGTCTGCTCGACGTGCATCGAATCCGATGCGGCCGCTCAGGTGTGTTCATAGTCTGAATGATGATCAACGGGCATTTAAGTCACCGGCAACAATCACGATGTCAGTACTCTTCGCCGTGCGGAGAAGAGATGAGGGCTTTTGGTAGAAATCGCCCATGGTACCCTACGAGCTACATCCAGTAAGAGCATAAACGGGGGCTTTGAAAATGCACCTTGTCTTCAGACGCTGCTCATTAACTCCAGTAGAATTTCGATTTCGAGCCCCACACATGCGGTTGTTCACCGGTATCCAGTCGAGCAGATTGCCTTCAGCATCTTTGCTGATGGCAATACCAACACCGTAAATGCCTTGAGCCATCGATTCAGAATCGCCAGAAATGCAATGAGTGTATTGTTCTCAGATTCAGAGCCATGGAGTCTAAGATTCGTCACGACACTTTTATCTTGTACGCGTGTTTTGAGCGACACAGCACTCATCAATACCAAGAGTCATCATCATCATCATTCTACACGTTAGCTGCAGGTGGAAAACAGCTATTGTGTCGCAGTACAAAAGACAAGAATAAATAAAAGACGGAGACACGCCGGCTAAGTCCTCGGTAGCGGATGGACATCGTTCCTGGAGAGCTAACAGCCGACTATCGTTCCGCAAAAAGAGAATTTTATTGTGCCAACGAGTGAGATCATGATTGCAGGGGGAGGCTAAGCAGGAAGGGGATGGACAAAGAAACGCAAACGCCATTAGGGCCGGCTCTTCGCCATATCAGCAAGTGTGTCCAACCAAACGTGTTCATCGTTCTTAGGACCCCAGTCAGACAGTCGGGATGCACCAACCGACGCCAACTTCGGATTGAGGGTTTTCATTTCTCTCGGCCAAGTCATCGTTTGGCATCTCCCTTTTTTTCCAACCGCACCTCCGGTGTGCAAACAATGCACGTCGGGGGAGTCGGTGTGCTGGCATGCGCAGCACGTGGCCCAGCCATCGGATACCAAGAGAGTAAGGTTCAGTGATGCCTGTTGACCGATAAGACCTAGAGTGCGAACGTTAAAAGAACCGATGTGATATGAGACTCGTGGTTTGATGGACGAGTGTCGATGGCAGAGACAACGAGGTTAGCGGCAGATTCCTGTTCAATAAACGGTGGAAGAAGTGAGTTGAGAGGCGATAGAAAAATAGGAAGAAGAGGGAGAATTTTCGATGTGGTACAGAAAGCAGATACTCTCCGGCTGCCCATTCCTAGGGAGGTGTTTTGTTCGAGATGCCCTACCTCTTTCTTTGACTCAACACACAGTCTTTAATAATTTGGAACAATTCACCTGTGTTTTACGACCGTACTACGTTACGCACCTGCGACCACGGCCAGCCGCAGGTGGGAGTTAGCGGGTTTGCACCAATTTGACCAAGGGCTGTTTGGCTTGAGGAGGGCGGTAGCGAACCATTGAACACCGGAAAGTGCCAATCGAGCTGTGAGCTTACAACCCGTAGACCCGTTGTCTCCCTTGGCGAGGTTTTAAAGGAAGAGGGCCATCGGCCTCTTCCTAACTTCTGGAGAAGATTGGATTGTGAGTTTGAATTAGTCTGACCCCTAACCATTGACCTGTCTGGTATGAGTGGCTGTGAATGCACTTCGAAAGCGGCACCCAGATTAGTTCAGTGGGTCACGGGGATACGCAGACCATCCCACCACGCTAGAGTCCAGTCTCGTTGCGATGGTTTGTTAGACTCACCGGTCATCCATGTGCTGCCTTCACTTTCCTTCCTTCTTATCGAGCTCTTTCACTCCCGTCATTTACTTCGTCTTGGTTCTTAAGGGACTAGGTATATTGTACATTGCTATCACTAAACCACAGATCGTTAGTCTGGATGGGGTTGCACCGATCTGCGATCGCAAATGGTTTCTTCACGCATTTACACCCATTGTGTAAATCTTTTTTATACCGTTTTTTTAGTTTAACGCCTGTCGACCAGATGTGTTTTGATACCTGACGTGTGATGGAAATGCGTGGTGTTTATCACTGTTGCGTGACACTATGGCGGTAGTCTCACCAAGGACGATGGTCACTTTGGTATTACATACCATATTAACGAAACTAAACACTGCTCGTTTATTTTTGGTCAGTATGCACTTATAGCACCTTCGTTCACTTTGTCCTCCCTGCCTACTTAGCCTCACTATTCCTGCCATCATGTTTTCCAAAATTTTGACTACGACTAGTTATTTCAGTTTTATTTTCCCTTCCATAGGTCTGCAACCTGTTGCCTCAGGCAAGAAATCGTGGTTGACATTTCTCAAACGTTAAGCTTGTATCTACAAAATTTATCATCCGTCGCTGCTCAGTCTACTCAAATCTCTCGTATCGGCTCATCTGCGTTTGGATTAACTATGAAACACGGTGCTAGTGGGGTCGGAATTAATGCGATTTCCCAGCCTCAGTCCCAACAGCAAACTCGGGTAAGTCTACTTTGGACTTTTTCTGCGTTCTGTTTAATTACCCTGCTGTCCATTGCTCCTCCGGTCGCGATCACTGCCCATCTGTTTAATAATTTTCAGTGCACATCTTCCACAGTCGCTCTTCCCTCCTCGAGCCATATGTACCAGTCATCTGATCTACCCGCAGTCAGCAGTTACGGTCCTGTTCCAGAGGACACCTTTTGTCGGTCTTCCGCAGGTACGTCTCCCTTATCTCTATCAAGCTGCTCTTAATACTTCTAAAGAGTTGAATGGAAGCTAACATGACTTAACTCTCTTGGAGTACCATCATCCTATAAAAAGGCGCTTGGAGGCCCTTTTCTCCTTCGGGGACTCGTCAGCGGTGTGCATCTTCCCAGTCCGATGGGGGCTCGAAAACCAAACCTGTTGCTTTGTTGGCCGATGCCTGTGTCTCACGATCCCTGTTCACGAAACATTCCGTCACAGTTTTAAGTTCCCACCGCCGGACCGAAGTGATGCGTACCGCTGGGGGTCCTAAAGGTGCGAACTGGTCGTCTGGCACTTCTCTAGACGCGGATGGCCGCTTGTCCGTACTTGATGTATATGTGATGCCTTCCAATTCTCATTTCCATCTCTGGTATTACTATGCAAGTTGATCTCATACAACTGGAATCGTATTGTTGTGGTCTGGGATCTGGGTACTTCCATGTATTGCGTCCTTCGGCTCATTAGCAGTTGTTCTGACCTCCTTTTTGGGCACCATATGGAAAGCTTCAACAGCCCTTTCCCATGTCTTTCGTCGACTGCCGTCAACACTTTCAAAAGGTGCTCCATAAATTCACAGTAAACCTCCTAACATCAGACTGTCATTCTTACAGGCCTCGTACTACGCGGTTCACGATACAGAAACAGCCAAGCTGCTTCCATCTTAGATGGGATGTGTCAACTGTATGCTTGTGTGAGTTGTTCACAGTGGATTCCGTCCTAACACCGTATAGTACACCAGATGCTGGAACCGTGTTTTTTTACGGAGACGATCCATTATGTCGTTTTTTTACCCAATTCTTTCTCTTGATTTGTCTTTCCTTGACAGTAGTGCAGGCGAAGTCTTTCTACCGCGACTTTTGCGGCAAGCTCCTTACTGAGTTTCGGGACTTTCTCGACTCCCTTTTGCTGTTCTCTCGCGACGAAATTGTCGCGAATGACGTCCTTTCTGTTTTTAAAGTAGTCATGCTACTGGGTGGTCGGCTGGTTTAAAATATGCGGGAATATGGGTTCGTGGGGTCGACAACAGGTTTTGTGTAACTGCCTCTGAAAAGACCCATGCAGAGAACTGCACGCTTCAGTATACACTTCGCATCCCCAACTTGCGAATTCTTATCATGGGAACTGGCAGTGGCGCCACTGCTCTCGACACCTACTGACTAATTAACTGTGGTCTGTCGTCGCAATTATCTGGTTAGTTATATCACTTCTGGGGGTCTAATCACGAAGGCAAATTACGGTGCTCATTAGTAACCTCTGCATGGTTTTTAAGGCCCCAACCATCATAGAGGCGGTTGGATATCACCTCAATCAAGGGCAGGGCTTACAGGTACAATATACAACATGTTGCTTTAAGAGTCAGATTTGTCTGCTTTTAACCACCTACATTTGTGCAACCTTCCTCGTGCCTGAGTTGAGGCGTGACCACCAAATACACAATTCGAAAGTATCACAGTTGGTAGTTAAGCTTGCTCCAGCGTTTACTGCTTGTCACTCTTATACGTGATCGTGTAAATTTTTGATTACACAGTTAATGACGGTTGAATCGTGTTCAACAGAGATTGACTGAATGACTTCTCGGACTGACAAATGCCACCTCCCTGGATAGGGCCCACGGGATGGATCACATCAGTGAGGCGTGGTGATCTCCCAGAGCCTCCTGTCGGCCGGTGACCGGATAGATTACGCGCATGGTAATCCGGAACTCCGGTTCGAATCTGCGTAGGTTTTGGGTATCCTCGCGGTATACTCGACCCACGCACGACCGGTGATGGTCGCATGACAGCCAAGTCTCGGTACGGTGTACTGCTGAGGCCTTTGCATTCGCTACTTTTTCCTACTCCTCACCTCTGTCGCTGTCGTCAGTTGCAAACGCAACACATGCATGAAAACATACACTGTTGTATGCTCAGTAGCCAGATAAGTTTGCCTAATAACAGGTGCGTCTTACCAAATCTGGCCTTAGGTAATTTACTCACTGCCCCAATTATTTCTATGCACATGACACCGGAAGATTCATCCTCAACGGTAGCACCTTACTAATTGGCAGTATTTTCAGATTTCCGTACAGCAGTATCTTGAATTAATTTGTCCGATTCACCTGGACACTAGTTTTTCTAAGGAGTTTGTTGGTAGATGAGGCTAGGTTCCCCTTCGTCCCGTGGCTTAAAGGTAGTGAGCTTGTCTTGTGATCTGACGGCGCGGCTTCGAGCTTGCTCAGGGGCAGTGCGACCCTTTCAGTATCCTTAGCCCACGTACGATCGGTGGTGGTTGCACGGCAGCGAAGTGTCTGTACTGCGTACCGGCGTGCTGTTGATGACTTTCTTTCTGTCGTCTCTTGGTATATCCCACTTTTTTTGCAGCTTAGACTGCTCTAGCCACTTTGGGATGTATTAAGTCACCTTTTGAGCCAGTTGACAGTTGTAGGTATTACCGCAACTGCAAGGGAACTGATCGACTACATAAGGGTCTGGGCTGTTTTGACGAGTATGGAATGTAACCGTTCGTGTTCATATATGCCGTCTCTCCTATAATGTCAACTGTTCCTTCTTGATGTCTATTTTCATTTTCTTAGCGGGGTCTACTGACTTCTCCAGTTGCAGTGCTATGCTGTCCAGTCTTCGTTATACAAACCGCTATTAGCCACTTCGATCACCTTTCTCTTCTTGTTATTTAGTTTTCTTTTCAACCAGGGTATTGCTCCCTCATTATTTTTCCCTTAACCTCCGAGTTGCCGTTACTAATTAAGCTTTTATTCGTCACTTCCATCTCCCCAGGGAGCTCCCTCATTGGCCGGCTAAATCAACCGATCTTTACCCATGGGTCTGCTCTGGTGAGTTATTCTTTGAATTTGTCCACCAGTTCGTTCATCTTCCTTGTTTTTGTTCCGCTCACTTTGGAATAGTCTGCGGAGAATAATGTTTGGCCTCAGCAACGACCATAGCCTAGCGGAAGGAGTCGAAGCCGTTGTGGTCCTTTTCTGATTAGACTCACCTTAGCGTTCACATCATATTCCTTCGCTTGAGTCTCTTCATTGAGATCGTCTCATTTCCTAGAACAAGGGTGCAGCACCCGATAAATCTGAAGATATGCACTTATGGTTGCTTGAGGTCGAATCCCTGCATTGCATGGATTCCCCCATCATTCCAGTCCGCTTGATTGCTTCACTTTTCCAGTTTCAAATTACGCCTGTCCCCATGCTTATCTTCATTTGTGATTCAAGATCCCGTGCGACCGCTGCTCACTCGCCTCATCGCAGTGTGACTGAGTGCAACTACTGCGCTGCGCATAAAACCTTTCGCCTGGTTCCTGAATCTAACTGAGCATGGATTATTTTGCTGGTCATTTTCACCACACTCCATGTTATCCTCTGTCCCCTCACTTTCTCCCTCCATGTTTTCATCTCAGCGCAAGCAGTCTGACGGATTGACCTCTCACGGAGTCTCCTATCCCACAGATCATCAGCCGATCGCTTTGTCATTCACAAATGAGCCCATTAAGCTTGAAATGACGAAGGAGGCTGAGGCAGAAGTAAGTCCATCAGCCGTCCAACTAGTGCTATTAAGCCGACCCTGCTCTTCTCACTATTTATTCCTTTTTGTCAAGGACGGCTACCCAACAAATGACTCTTGCCTTCCACACACTTTAACTGTATGAGATTGAGGCTGTATTTAAGAGTAAGTAAGAAGGTTTCTGTACAACTCTTTCGAATTACGAAAAATCAAAAACATTTAGTTGTGAATCATCAGCAGTTGTGTCTGGTCCGTTAATCGTTTATCCTTGTTCGGTTAGGAATTTGTATTGGTGTCATTATTTCCGGGCATACGATATCTTCCTTTGACATTGTATGTGCATCGTTTCACAAAAGCACAGGTTTCCGAAATAATCGTCCATACGGATTTTAAAACACTTCACAGAATCGGCCTTTATTAATCCTTCTGGTACTGTATTCCATAATTTTACGATTCTTCGTTCGACACAAAGCTGATGCGATACTTTGTTCATGCTGGGAACCCTGAGTTTGTAACGGTGTCCTCAGGTGTTTCAGGGTTCCCGCAGGTGAAATATTGACCGCAGTATGTGGATGTGATTTAAGTGTAGTACTCGATGGGTCATAATAAGGTCAATTCCTACTCGGCGATAAGATAGTGTGTAAAGTCCCAGACTTTCACAACCTTTTTCATACGGAAGCTTTCGTAGACAGTATCATTCTAGTTGCGATAGGCTGTATTTTCTCCAGCTTTTTAGTTTCCCACTGAATTATCGGATGGTAAGCTGGAGCAGCTTATTCAAGGATTGGTCTAATGAGCGAAGTGAATAGACGAGGGACGGTTTCTTTGGACCATGTGAAGAAACTGCGTTTTAATGCCCAGAGCATACAAAATCCCGCACGCTACAATTTCTCTGTATTTTCTAGCGATCTCATATCATGTCGTGAGAGAACTCCTAAGTTTCTGACAGATGTGTTGGGATGGAGCAACTGGCCATCCAAGGTGTATGATCGAGTGGCTGGACGTCTGGTGATACTGATGAACTCCGACTTGCTTGCGTTAAGAGGGAGTTGCATTTCAGTGGACTACGTTGACAGTCGCTATAAGTCATGCTGGTGGCGAGCGCAGTCGTGCTGGTTCTCACTGGTCCTCCAGCTTTTCAAATAATCTGCAAACAGGGCACATGGTGACTGGAGCTGCTGCGGGAGATCGTTGATATGAATAAGAAATAATACTGGCTCAAGTACAGTTCCTTGAGGCACGCCACTGGTCGATGGGAACCAGTCTGTCAGGTAGTTATTGATCTGTACTCTAAACTTTCGTCCCCCAATAAATTCGTGTAACCACTGAAGTAACGTGCCACCGGTTCCGTATGTCAGTTTACCAAGTAGTGCCTCGTGGTTCACTCTGTCAAACGCCTTACTAAAGTCGATGTACACCACGTCAACATCCGTTCGTTGAGAGCTCGTACCCACTGGTAATTTGCGTACATCAAGTTGGTGATGCAGGATCGCCCTTTCGTAAAGCCATGTTGCGCTGCCGTCAGTACGTCTATCGATTTGAAGAACGACAGCAGACACTTTTTCACATGGTGATGCGTCATACGGTCTACACTTAAGCGTCGTGCAGCCGTCTTACGCTATCACGCCCCCTAGTCTACGTGTTGCGTTCCTCTTCTAACCTAGCCCTCCTTGTATTGTGCACCCGTTTGCGAGGCTATCTGTGAAACTACCTTGACTCTAATCCTCATTATCACCATTCCACGTGCTGAATAAGGATGGGAAACAGTCATTGTACTGACCTGATGCAGAAGACAACCTTTTCTACCAATTGTTATTTCCATAGCGCACTCACCCTGTCCCCTAAAAGACATTCACCCCCTTTACTCCCCAACATTCCGGTTTATTTTGGTTTCTGACACTAATCTTACGGTAAGGTTTATTAGTATATATACGATATTGGCTTTATGCTGATTTTCATGTTTAGAGCTTTTACACTGGCCATCTTCACTCGATCTGTTAAATTATCTTAACCCAACTTTGGCGATTTGTCTGTAGTTTAACATTTTCGTGATTTTCAAACTACCTACTTTTGCATATTGCTTCCCTGTGTTTTCACAGGCCTATGGTTTCTTCCAAAAACTGTTGAAGGGAATCAGCTCCCCGGATGACATGTTCAAAGCTGTTTGCGAGTATGCTACTCAGGGAAACTTGTCACAGCGGAAGCTCTTGGACGATGTCTTGCGTATGCTCGCTGATGAAGTCAGTCAGTACCTTCCGGATTATCCTGAACCCATGCTTCCACTGATATCCGAGCTGTATGGCAATATTTTGGCCGCTAGCACCCAACTGTAAGTATCTTGTAATCCCGGTTTACCGTTATTTACATTATTTTCAACGATGCTGGTAGCGATAAAGTGCAAAGGTGTCAACTGCACCTGGGTACTTCGTACCGGCATTCCTATATCGCAACCACCAGCGGTTACATGCTGTTGGGATACTGTCACTTCGCACGCACTTACGCAAGCCGTAGTCGGTAGCCCGCGGATTCCAAGCCAAACGCTCGAACCTTTCCACTATTAGGACTTCATCAATCCATCCATTAGGAACCCAGAATCTTGACCTTTCCATTGGTTAACCTTTCGTCTTAATGAAGAGACCTTGATCGATAAGGAGGATGTTTTCTCCAGCTCGAACACCAGCTCTTACCCTTTCACCTAAAATGGACCGGTAAATTTCCTACAATCATGCAAGCATGGTTTTCGACCAGGAACGTGTTGGGATGAGGAGTTTCCAGAGAATCGGCTGTTGAATTTTTCGTTTACTGTAACTTAATCACTCCAAGCTTTTCTGTGGCACTGCTTTTCATATATGATATGTTCCCGAAGTTTACTACTGTTTTTTATGAAACGAATGGAGACCTTACAAATTACCATCCCATATATATATATATATATATATATATATATATATATATATACATCACTTTTTGGCTGTCTTTGCGCTTTGCCATTCCATTGTTTTTAATTTGGTGCCCTAGATATCCTCGGGCTTCGCGGATAGTGAAACCGGCGTGTTTTAAGGCTCACCAATCTATTGACCAATCCACTTACTGGTCACTATAGAACCTTAACTATTTGTGCGTTTACAGAAAAATTCATTTTAATAATTGCTCTCCATTCCTTGATCTAACGATCTTTTGTCTGCATTGTTTGTTTCCATTTCCGTGACTGACTTAATTACGCACACAGTGCCTTTACCTACATGTGGCTGGTTACCATAATTAGATCCGTTCCGGAGTTCCTATATAGACCACAACGCTCTACATTGGATGCACAGCGTTCCTTGCTCGTTCTATGTCTTCTGCTCTAAGTCAAGGAGGTAAATCCGTACGGCTTTTGTTCCTTGATTATTCAAATGCTTTTGAAAGCCTGGATAGATCAGTGTTGTTCATCCGGTTGTGTGTAGTCTGTTGTGTACCTATTTTACGGAGCATAATCTATACGGTTAAACGGTAAAAGTCTCCGTACCGACTTTTGTGTTCTGCAGGGTGCGGTTTTATCGCATCTATTCTCCTTTACATCAACTTCTCTCTATACAACCTATGTTCATTGGACGTGACTGCTGATTATTTTGTGTTAAAGTGAATGGCCCCAACTTCTATACATCTTCGTTGCTTTCAAGTGGATTAGAAAATCTAGTGTTGTCTTAACATTTCTAAATATACTCTTTGAACCACAGCCTCATACCCAGATCACGCACCGTCAAGTATCCTGGAATCTTTTTTCTCGAAATCTCTATTGGTCCATGAACGTTTGTAGCTTTGTTAAGTCAAGTGGATAACTTGTTATGCCTATAGAATTACGATACCTTCGTTACTCTGCACTTTAATGTTTCAGTTTGTGGCTTCATGTATTATCCTCCATTGGTTATACTACTCCGCTGAACTACTAGGAAAACATAATGCATCATTAGTGCCGGCCCCTAGCCTAAAGCTAATGAGCTTGTCTTGTAATCTGACGGCGCGGGTTCGAGCCTGCGTAGGGGCTGGGTGACCCTCGCAGTATCCTTATTCCGCGTCCGATCGGTGCTGGTTGCGCGGCAGCGAAGCGTCGGTACTGCGTACCGGCATACTGCTAATGCCTTTACATCTTAGGCGCTTTTCTAAATACAGCGGTTTATCCAAATATTGTTTTGTTGATTTGATCATTTGTAGACCCTTTGACGCCCGCTCCTAAATGGCCGATTTTACCCAATACACAGTCGAAAACGCGCTCTTGTTCCCCACGTATTCGAAATGGAGTTTTCTTTTTCCACCCTCCGTCGTATCGTTATACTTTCTTGCTTTATCTCTCACCTTTGCTTGTCGACCCCACGTGTGATAAGCATGCAGCGCTAGCAGCCTCTAGAGTGATGGTTGTTCATATCTTCCGGTACAGCCATAGCGGTAGTTGAAATGCTAAAAATGAACTCAAACTCTTAAAGCTTATTTTGACTTTAATCACCTACGTGTTGCATGCAGTTTCTTTTGCATCAAGCGAGAGCAAATGCGTCATTCCGATGTTCAAACAAGCGAGGTAGGAGCAGCGGCGTCGTGTCTTTTATTGTCCATCATTGCCTGTGACCAATCAGCAGACCTCTTCTGCTCTTCCGGATGAATTATTACGGTTTTCTTTTCATTAGGCTCCCGGTGCGATCTTTGTCAATATTATGGCGAGCGCTGCTCACCAGACTTCACTCCTTCTCACCAGACATGGCCGATTCGCCCCTATTCCGCGCCATCATTCGCATCCTCATCAAAGCCAAGAATGCGTGAGTCTATTGTCTAGGTCTGATATGCTCTCTCCTCATCGTGTACCGCGGCCTCTCACCTAATTTATTTCCTTGACACGGTATTTTCTCCTGTCTTGCTCTGATGTGGTGTATCTTCGTAGTGAAAAACATGCTGTATGTGCAATAACGTGAAAAGAAGGGTCGCATGCTCTGACTCCCTACAATTTTGTATTCACATGACCAAAGGGGGTATTCACCCAGTAGTCCAATGTCTTTTTCGTTTGACCGCACACAGTTATTTTCAACCAGACACACCGTCCTGAGTCGCCTACCGATTTGCCGGTCGACCGGTGCTTTATTTCCTGTTCCTTCACTCTGTCCCCGCTCACTCTCAATCCGAAGAGTGCCTATGTGTTTGCATTCCCTACTGGTCTTGTTAGCTAACTGTTGTCTACTCTGATTTTACATGCAAACTAACTCGAATCAGCCTGTCACATCTGTAGTGGGAGTGGTATCGTTTATTGTGATGTGTACAGTGGACCCAAATGAAGCGAGATGATTAGCTCACATTTTGTTGCCAAGGCTGATGTTGCCTTCATGATGCTTTTCACCGCAGTTGGGCTAAACCAACTTACACTTAAACTAGGTATTTTTAATGTGGACAAAATTCATTCCACTTTATTTCGTTTGTTCTGCGTACTTGATAATCTTCTCCTAACTTGCACACATCGTTCATGCAAATTGTGGTAAACTTGCATAATTTTATCACGTGGTATTTAAAAAAAATAACTTTCAGACATTTTGTACTTATTGCGGATTCACTTATAACCAATTTTTTCCATATGCTCATTATCTAGGCTGATGTTGCATTCTTGATACTTCTTCACTGCAGTTGGGCTAAACCAGCTTACACTTAAACTGCGTCCTTTTAAGCTGGATAAATTTCATTCCACATTAGTTGGTTTGTTCTGCCTACCTGAATAATCTTCTACTAACTGATCACGTTGCTTACGCTAATTGAGCTTATCTTCGGTAACTTTGTTGCGTTTGTAACATTTTTAAGTAATTTGTGGACATATTTTCCTTATCGCGGGTTCGTTGCTAACCAACTTACTTCATAAGCTAATTTAGCGAAGTGTTATGCCATCGTATCTGTATGCATTATTCGATTTAGTTTATTTCATTTTGTCGTTTCAAATGATTGGCTTTTACTTGATATCCCAGGTGTGTCTGAGCTTGATGTGCATGTTGACAAGGTGCCTACCTGTCTATTACCCACTACCTCCTTCATGCTGGCTCCAGGAGACAGTTGGTCGTTGCTGAAGGGGACGGGCTGCACGGTCCTTGGGGCCGTGCTAGGCTCGAAGAGTGGTTCCATGCAATCAGTGTGGAGCGGACTACGGTCCAGCCACCGCCTTGTGTGCGGTTGATTCCCCAAATACAACGTGTTTGTGTTTGCCTGTGAAGGAGCGTGGGCCAGCTCCGTTGCTGAAACGTGGCTCCCATCCACATGCCTCCCGGTCTTATTCCTTCGGGTTTACACTGGATTTGGGTTGTGCGGATGGAACTGTGGGTGGTGCAGCGCAATCCACTCATGGTCCCTCAATTGGTGCAGGTGTCCTGTGACTCGCCACAGTAACAGGCGAATCCGAAACCGGATGCCACCAACCATGTAGCAGTTGCAATTCCCATTTGTTTGGCAACCAAGAGCTGTTTTTCCCTGTTCCTGGCCGCTCATCAAGTTTTTAATTTTTATCTTTTTGTGGTCGTGCAACCCATTTTATTTTTCTTATTTGTAATGCACTTCTCTGCCATTACAGGTTTACTCAATTTTACAATTTACCAGGTTGTCTGGTCAGCTGTCCAGTTTTCAAATTCTTTCCTCATGAATTGCAAGAGGTACGTTTATTTCCCTTTGCTCCTCTCATGCATCGTGAGTTTCCATATATTTACACATTGTTCTTGTTTACAGTACATTCTGAATGCTGAGATGCTTGCCAACAACTACATACGCTCGCAACAGACTGGTCCCAAGGTGAGTCATTCGAACGGTTCTACTACCCGTACTTGGTTTCACGCACTTGTGTGTGTGCGCTTCATATGCTGCGATCAACAACCGCCCCTTCGGCACACACAGAATCACTCATGCTTTATGATGTCCTCACCAATCAATTGTACGAATGACAACACCATCATGCCTTTTAACTCTTTCTGTTTATTCTCCTTTGACATGTTTTTGTTGCAACTAGCCGCATATGCACCACCTTCTTTAGTATACTGTGGATCTTTCATGGCGCCGACCATTTTTGTCTCATTTTTTCTTATTGCCACATTTCGTTCGCCTACAGTGGCTTTCAATTGCGTTGCCTCAAACCACACATTTTTTGATGCGCTTCTCTATGTCACTTGTCGCTCTCCAGTGCCACTTGCCACATTAATCACTCCTATTTTGCCACCCATTATGCATGCCGTTGCATTGGTTCTCAACGCATTTTGTAATATTGCTCCAGGTCTTTTGCTAGTCAGAGTGAATCCTTTCATTACTGTCGCAGCCGTCTATTTATCGCCGGGGTTCAGGTTTGCATGTTCTGTACTACAAGCTGCATATTATTCCCACTACACAACCAACGCAGTTTTACTGTAACGTACAATTATTTCACATCATACACTATCTTGCCATGGTACTTACCATAAAACTGCAACAATCTACTTTTCTCTCAGCCGTTAGTGACCACTGCTTCGACTAATGCGTTCAATTCGGTCAATCAGCTAACCGGCCAAACCTCTTCGTTGGGAGTAAGCTCCACTTCACAGCTTCCTGGGCTTGTATTACACTGTACCCAATCTGAAGCACCCCCTAAGGCTCCAGATCCACCTGAAGAGGCCATCTCTGATCGAATTTACTTCTTATTCAACAACGTTTCGCAGTCGAACGCGAAAGAGAAATCCGCTGAGCTAACGGAATTGCTTTCAGATGAGCGATTACTACCCTGGTTCGCATATTATCTGGTTGGAAAGCGTGTTCCTGTAGAACAAACCTTCCACGAATTGTTCGCTTTTGTCTTGGAACAAATCCAGGAGCGGATTCCGAATGTGCGCCCTAAAGTTATGCAGGAGCTGATTCGTCATATCAAGGTCAGTCCAATCCACTTCTACTGTTATAAGTCAGATGCTTGTCGATGATGAGCTAGTGGCGCAAGGCGTTTGTTGCCGATGGTTAGCAGGCTTGCCTCATACTTTGCGGACCCAGCTTACTAATTCACACCACTCTACCGGCCCATATTCGTCCCGCTAGTGTTGACTTCGTGTTCCTTGAGTTACCGGCCTCATTCGAGCATTATAAAGTAGCTCGAGACTGGCTAGCCCCCGAGTACATTTTGTCGCATACATTGATGCTCATATATCGCATTCCGACCACGTCGTCATTTGCCGCCTAGCCGTCTGCGGTCGCATTCATTCTGAGCAGTTTCCTAAATACATACGTAGCTAGTTCTTTTGTTTTTCAACGGTGCGAAAGGCTGTTCCCACATAGGGACAGACAGATAATCTGCTGGTCAGTTTTTTGATAAATAAGCATAAGTCGACATGTGAAATACTGTAAATGTGAATTGTACCATTCATGAAAGTAATAATCTTCCGCCTTTCCATCGCATGTCATCCAAAATGAGGTTAATTCTACGTGGGGAGGGATTAGCATACCTTAGGTTGTGCATATTTCACAAAGGAATTTTATCGTGGATTCTTGTTAATATCACATAATGGTTGCTAATTTATCCCCAGGGTTTTTTTGTAAAGGACACTCACGATGCTTAACTACTTTCCACTCGCTTGTTACCGTTTTCCCCAATTGTTTCTAATCCACAATAAATAACGGGCTCTCACTTGACCACTTCGGACCCTCCATGTCCTCGTCCATCTTTTTGTTTCAAATGTGGTTAGAGCACCGATTTGTTTCTATTTGGTCGATATTGACACTCGTCGCTCATTTGATCTGCAAGCTATTGCCATATTTCTATTCATCTTTAGTTTCTGCTGCGCAATATGCGAAAGGATCGCGATGACATGCAGGCGCGGACTGCTCTGAAAAATCTGGGTGATTTTCTCGGATTGATTACTCTTGCGCGAAATAAACCCCTTTTGCACGATGATCTCAATGTGAAGGATTTAGTCTATGAGGCCTACCATAAGGGACCAGTTTCATCACAGTACGTCGTCCCATTCGTCGCACGTATTGTCAAAGGCGCCACTAACAGTGTGTTCCGTCCGCCAAACCCGTGGACAATGGCTATCTTAAAGGTATTCCGTGAGCTGTATGATCTGAAAGACGTGAAGGATTGTCTACGTTTCGAGGTTAGTGCGTGTTTCTCTCCAAAGATTTTGCTTTTGTCCTATTCTCTTCCTCATAGCACTGTGCCAACTGATTACGCTCTCATGTTCAGTACTATCCCTAAGTGACAACCGCGGGGAACTTATCATCCATGCGTTTTTGTGGTCTCTTTTAGATCGAATTGCTCTATCGAAATTTCTCACTGAATGTGGAAGATGTGCCCATGGCTAACTTTCTTCGGGATCGTAACCACGTCAATAATCTCGAAGTGCAGCTTTGCTTCTTTGTCACTTCCGATTCATCTAACAACCTCTCTTCTGCTACCCTCTCCGGTGCTGCGATTACAGTGGTCTCCGGCACCGACACTTTCGCTACTGGCCCCGTCTGTTCCGAGACTACTTCAATCGCGGTAGCGCCCGCAGTACCTGTACAGCAGCAGCAACAACATGTTTTGAACATGCTGGTTGCATTGCAGAAGCAGCAATCCCAACAACAGCAACCTATCACTGCACAGGCGTCCACGGCTTTGATTGGCGCTTCGGACGTGGCCAGCACTTCAGGGGCCACTAATGTGTCGCAGTCAATGTATTCAGTACGCGTTCACTGTACACTTTTCTACCTTCGCAATGTTCACCTTACCTCTAGTGCTTACGGCGCATTGTTTATCTTCTTCAGATATCTGGACTTGATTTGAACAATGTGATTGTTTCTGGGAATGGAAATTCAAATACGCGCGCCCTTGTTTTGGCCGCTGCCCTCGCTGCTAACCAGTCACAAAAACATCTGCCACCAGGTCAGCAGTTCCGATCCTCTAACATCACCTCAACCACCGCCAGTGGAAGTGGAAGCGCTTCCGCGGCATTTTCCATTCAGCAAAAACAGTTGGCCGTTGCTATGGCTACGTTACAACAGCAGCTGCAGTCCCAGCAGGCCTCCAACGCTGTCGTTCCCTATACTCCTAGCGTGTCGCTTCAACACGGTATCACTGGGATCACACCAGGCAAGCTTGCATTCCCCTCTATACATATATATATATATATATATATATATATATCAATTTAATAATCAACCATCTCATCCAAATGTTCCTGATTCTTCATGTATATTACATTTGTCCTTCACCAATAGACTCTACAGTCGACGTTTCTGGTGGTAACCTCCGGTACGAAGACGTCAGTCTGCAAACTATTCGGGCATCTTTGAAGTTGGATGACATTATCGCTGTTGCCGGGTCTGTTAATCGAACTGCCAGTGGAGCTCCTGCTGCTGGTACCAACTCCGCTCACGCCGCAGTCACTCTTTTGCAGTCCAACCCTCGTCTACGTACCCTAATCGAACCTGCGATGAGTCGTGCCATAAACGAACTAACCACCCCCGTCTTTGAGCGATGTGCCCGAATCACAGTCACAACAGTACTTAACGTAGTTCGCAAAGATTTTGCCATGGATCCCGATCCTAACCGAATGCTTTATGCTGCCCGCCAGATGGTTCGTCATCTGACTGCGGGTATGTCCCTCATCACCGCTCGCGAGGCTTTAGGTGTGTCCTTGGTAACGTCTCTTAAAAATGTTATTTTGGCAGAGGTGCAAACAGCTTCCGGTCAAGAAAAGGAAGCAGTGCAGCGGCTTGCTCATCTCATCGTTGCCAGATCTATGCACACTTGCTTGGCATTTATGCAGAAATCGGTCGCAGAAAAGTCCGTCCTGGAGGTTGAGAAGAAGTTGGAGAACGATTTGAAGCTCCGGACTGAGTTAGGACCGCGCCGTTTCTTGGAGCAGGCAGCGACTCAGTTGGCCACGGTGCAAGCAAACATGCCTGAAGTTCTCCGCCTTGGAGTGAGTATATATTTTTGTGGTATTTTTCACTTTCCATCATCCACTTTTCTTACCCAGTACTCCATGATTCCATATTCTACACTTTTTCTAGATTGGGGGCCTCACTCCTTCCAATATGTCAGTTTACGATGAATTCGGTCGCGTGATTCCGGGGTTCGCCCAGTCTCCAGTTGTTCCAAGCGCTGCCCCTTCTCTTGTTCCGACTGTGGGGCACTCGAATTCTCAGAGCACGAATGCGGCTCAAGTTGCAGCCTTTTTACAGCAGCAACAACAAGATATTTCTTCAGTCAGGATGCAAAGGCAAATTTCGGCTGGCCCGGGAAGCGTATCACTGTTGAAACCCCTACTGAATCAGGGATCTGCACAACAGTCCTTGCTGCTCCTACAGCAGCAACAACAACAACAAAAGGTTTGTTTTGTTTATTTAACTCGATCACATATTGGTTGCTGCTGTTTACTTCTGGACCACTCGGGATGTTCCAACAAATTCACATCTCTCGTTCATATCAGGTTTCGGCTACTGGCTCTTTGGATGATATCGTAGCGCAAATTGAGCGCCACTTGGCCTTCATCTCGAACCGTTTGTGCTCCACAACCGATCCTATGATTCGCTCATTACGGTGCTTCATTGATGCTATGAATTTGGCCAAAACTAATCGTGACCCCAATGTCGCGATCGCCGTGATTTCCACCATAGTGCAGAGCTTTTTGGAACACTATCGACCGAGTGCCTGGTGTGATCAGCCTCGTGGATTGGAGACAATGGAACATCTAAAAGAAGCTTACATGCTTACTCTCAGGCATATGCTGTCTTCCGATCAGGCCCCTTTTGGTTACGCATGGGTCACAAGACAGGTATTAATCTCCCATTGCCCATTACTCTCACTCACACAGTGTGTTCACCCGTGAAGCATGGCCTTATCAGGCGTTTTGATATGAGCTTTGCGTAGGACAAGGGACTTTGCGTTGATCATTGTTTATAAATATGAGTTTCGTAACGGAGCCCCGAGTGATGCAATGATATCTCTTTATCGGGTAAAATACTGAGCATTCTCTTTGTTGTATTTCCTTCCGTCTTTCTGCTCATTTTCTTTTCCTTAGTAAACTATCTTATGACAATGTCAATACCAGTGTCCCACTGTGCTCCGCTCTTTCACAGATAAAATTACCGTATATTACCGAATATGTCTGTCCATAGATAAGCCAACAGTATGACTTTGCAATATCAAATCCGTCCATATATTAGCCGACCCCTAAAAATTCAGCAAAAGTGAAACGAAATTGTTTCTCCACGATCTTGACGTCATCACTACTTGCTCTCACTTGAGCGAGTCCAAGTGAAACCTGCTCTATTATTGGTCAGTTGTGGTGACTGTAATGTTATACTTACGACTAGTAGGGCGTGGGGCCGTTAGAACAGAATTTCACCGCATCGGATAGTGCGTTTGACCAGACGTCAAGTCACATGAAACAGGTAAGACAGCGGACAGTATATATATATATATTAAATATATATATATATATATATATATATATATATATATATATATATACATATATATATATATATTTGCAAAAGTCTGTTAACAGACATAATGCCATCAGAAACCATGGGATTCAAACGAAGGTACAGAAACAGTAAAATAAAACACAACACAACAATGTCCATGGTTTCCTCAGAGGGCGAGATACTACCCGGTTGCCCAAGCCGAAGTAGGGTGTTGACTTAGGGGACACCACCCCGAGCCTTTGGCTGAATAGCCTGCCCGCAAGGCAGCGGAGCGAATTCAGGGAATCGCGCCCATTGGGAGCCGGTGACTGATTGCTCAGTTCATACGCCTTTTGTTTGTTCCTTTGTCAAACAGGGGCCCAATGCTCCCCAGAAGTACAGCATAAGGTTGCTGGAATACAATGCTTCGCCAGAATGAAGCAAGGGGCAGTGACTTTATTTAGTGGCGAGTCACATCCGCCACGTCACAGTGTTGTTAAACGGACATATGTGGCTTTTTATAGGGAGAACGCTTGCCAGGCGAAATCCCACCACGTCCTGGAACACTGCCGCCGAACCATTTGCTGGAACGGGAAAATCCCGAACCACCCAGCTGGCACCACGAGGAGGTTGTTCGGCAAGCCAGCCGCGGACAGTATATGGTAAAGTGCGAGGGTGTCAGACAGGCCGCCTCGTATAGTCGGGGGCCTCATGCATATGAAGCACAATAGATAAGTGGGTGAGACGACGTTGTACTCTTAAGACACCGGATCGGCTAGCATAACATAATGTTCCAGGGCTTTGAATTCACTGCTGCTGCCATCCGTCGCGAAGGTCAGATGTGCAATATACCGAGAATTTTCGATAAAAAAAGCAACGTGTCCAGTTGTGTGCACTTGGAATCCCGTCCGTCACTGGCGCGGGGTGCTAATGGAAGATAAGAGCAGAGGTATGCAGTGAATTCCTTGGTGGATTTTGCATGTGACTTTTTGCAAATCGCGTATGACCTTTGTATAAACCGGCCGCCTCTTTACGGAAACAAAAAATTGCCCAACATTTATCGGTTAAATCTGGTAATATACGGTATATGATTTGTTCATTACACAAATCTTGAGCGCTGTTTGCTTATTTGTTTTCCTGTGCACCCAATGCTCAGACAAACTCACTTATCGACTCCAATCTATTCACTATTGTTTTCTCCGACGTGAACACAACACATCAGGATTTGGTTTTATCGGGCTACTTTTTCCTTATCTCTTGCATGCGATTGATTATTTCTGTTTCTGTTCTTTGACTCCACGGCTTCGCTATGTCTGATCCCGTCTGCACCATTTGTCAAGTGTTGGAGTTTGGATTTTATAGTATCAGTTGGCATCCGTATTCTTTACGTGGATAGGTTTATCCCGCACACTTGTATCAGTTTGGCGTATACAGTGCATAAAACACAGCTCTTCATGGGACTGCTATTAGCTCTGTGGCCTTGAGTAGTCAGTTCAGTTCGTCCTCGTGAAGATGCATGTCAAGGTGTATGGGACGGTCGCTTACTTTGCTCGGGACAGCGAAAGAATGTGATTACGTTTTATCCCACCGGCTGTTTTTTTAATCCTAGCCTTTTCACAAGTTAGTGCGCCAAATCATCCACCAATTACTTTGACTGGTAGACATCACATCGTGACCTCGTTTATGTGTGCTGAAGGAATTCCATTACGTAGTTGCATTTTATTTTACCGAGACTGTTTCATTGAGAAGATGTGTGATCTGACACCACCTTTCATTGCGCTAATTAAATGGATTACACAAACATATTCCACCAAGCGCGATGCGTTTCTAACACGGAAATCGACCAATTATACCTCATTTGGCTATCACCTGCCTTATCAATTGCTGGGATGCCATCTGGATTTGTTAAAAATCATTAATATTTCTTCACCACCTCTCAGGTAACCCAGGCGTGGATCCACCTGGATGGTGGTAGTATATCTAAAGACAAGCAGCCAGTATCTCTACCCAAGGTTTCAGAAGCCTTAATGGAGGCGGGTGGTGAGTCGAATGTTGCAGATAGCCCACGCGACACAGTGGGCGGGGATTACACTGGGGACAAAGAGAGAAGTGTAGCGTGGTCGAAATGGAAGCCCTTGCAGGTATGTCTTTTCTTTCGTCTCCGAATTCTTTTTTTCTCTTTTTACTTTATCGGGCAATCACATACCACTTTCTATTTGTGCGCACAGCCCGATGCTTCTCGACCCGAAGGGGGGCCGATTCAAGGCAAGGTGAATTCCATTAAGTGGAATTGGGAGGCTTTTGCCGAGCTGCTCAAGGTTCATGTAGTTTATCTTTCACAGGTTAGTCCCACCCATCACGTACTATAGAATTTTCCTGTGGCTGTTTATTAACTGTTCTCTCTGTTATCTAGGTCGATGCGTATCTCTCTCAGGAAGTCAATGCCGGCCACCCAGGTGCCATCATGTTCGTTATCGATTTACTCGATCACTTCGTTCTCCCTTGCCCATCGGGCACTGCTGTTGGAGCTGCCGCGGCAGCCGCTGCAAGCTATGCTCGGGCGAGCTTCAACTGTATTTCATCTGCTAGCGGCGCTCAAGTGGGCCCCCAGCAGGCGACCACGGCAACAAATTCGGCTGCAGGGGTGCCTTACGCTTCCACTCCCATGCCGCAGTCTATGAGCCAGTCGAAACGGGAATTCACCGTCCTTAACGAATACGATCTTTGGTCCACATTGGAGGCTATGCGCTCTTGTGTTAACTGCTTGAATGCTGCGGCCTCAACTCGACTCGTCAGTCTCACGGATCCGCTTGGTTTGCGTCTACGTTTGGCTTGTGCTCGAGTTCGTGGCCTACTAGATCTCGGACTTCTTGAGCAGTCTCCATTATTCGCTACATCGTTGGGTGCTTTTACTCCGATCACTGCATTTTATTCAGGTTGCAGTCAGGCCCGGGAATTTGACGATCCACCAAACTTGCAAGTGAGGCTTGTTTTCGCTTTTTTCTCTAATTACAACTGTATTTGCTTACTGTTCATTGTGTTTGCGTGTTCCTCTAACAGACCTGGTACACAAACAACCGAATGATCATTTTCAGTTTTTATGTTGCGTAAATCGCTTCTTCTTACCTTCCTGTGGTTCTGGTCTAGTGTAGCCACAATCCAACTTTCAGTCGGTCATCGAAGGCTTTTTTACCTTTGTACTATTTGAAGTACAGGTGGGCATCTCCCGGGTATGCAACTGCTGATTGATATGTTTTATGAAGGAAATCCAACCTACGAATCTATTCCAGAATTAACACTCGTAGCTGCTGCGTCATAGACAGGTGTAATTCATAGGTTAGTGGGGCTTTCTTCCATCTCCCTAAGGTGTAATATTTGTCTACTTGATGGATGCGTTGGGTTCTGGCGTACCGGTAACATGGTGTCCTACTTGCTGATCCACAAATGCATCTAGTACTGATTTAAGGGACCTCTTTGTTCGTTTAATCTGACCGTTGTTTTGGGAGTGATGCACCTTCCGATTCTTTACTATCCCAATTGCGCGACATATTTCTTCTCGCATTAACGGCCTTTCATAGCAACACTGAATGCAGCTGCCCTGGCACTCTACAATGGCAAATCGATCAGCCTTGCACCACGGTGAGACAGTGGATCATGATCTACCAGTGACGATGCTTCCGTGTCGCCTCGAGTAGATGGTCCTAAGGTCGACACTTACTGTCTCAGGATTGTGGTCATCGTAAGTTATTATTATTACTTAGTTGCAACGAAGGACGGTGAACATTTTGAGGTTGCTTAAAGGCTCTCCGTTCCTCGCGTACTTTAGATCAGCCGATTGTGTCCGTTAGTTTGGTCGCTAAAAACATCACCATGACCCTACGTCTATTCCATTAGTTCTCATTTGCTACGGTATCTTACAAAGGTTGCTCAGTACATCGAGCCACTGAATGTAGGACTGTTGTTCCGTTGGCATACGTCCTCACGAAATGGAATATTGGCACACTTCATTCAGTGTCTAACTGGCTCCACGAGGTTCGTAGATATATCACCTCCTATCTTCCATCTCTACTACTCGGTCTGTCGCTGTCAGGAAAGCAGTGTTTGTGCGCGTGCTGCAACTTATTCCAATTGTTCACTTTCTTAAGCGCAGTTTATTCGGTACACTGCTGCTTTATACCTCCATCCACTAGACTGTCTTTATACTCTTCGGTTGCTGTTAATACTTTCCTTGTTTCTATATTTTAGGAAAAAGTTGAGCTTCTTATGCGTCATTGGATTGAAGTGTACCAGAGTCCTCGACAACGGGATCCGGCTACCATCGAAGCAGTGTTAAGTCAACTCACTCAAATTGGAGTTTTGCCGAATTTAGACAACCTTACGCGTTTTCTGCGTCTTGCCACAATTTTTGTCATCGAACGGGCTCTGAAACATCTTAAACTTCAGGATCAACAGCAGCCGCAGCATATGAACGCTCCTCCTGGTACCGGTGCTGTGCCGAGTGCCTTTCAGCCTGGCTTCAGCGGAGCCAATTCCAACTCCAGCATGTCTGTGGCCCGTTTGGCTGCCTATGTGGAACTGGATGCCTATGCTCGCCTGATCAGCATCATTATCCGGCGAAGTGGTGAATTATCAGACCAGAGAAATATCAAGGTCCGTGTTTACTCACCATTGCATACTGCATTGTTAACCAACTTCAATTTGAACATCCTCAGCCTTACCATTCATTTAAATAAATAAATAAATGTTTTCGTAGTAAGTAGAAGCCACGATTAAACTGCACAATAAATGTTTTATTTCTCGGCGATGCGAGAGACTATTCTTACATAGGGAAAGATCAAAATATTTACACATTTTTTCATTTAGTCCTCTCTACATATTAGATGGGAATATGCATTATGTTATATCCATGTCAGTTTCACACCTGCACGTTGTTCAGGGTGAAGTGCAGAAGATTGTGCTGGGGTTATATCCTCCGTTAACGGATGTCTCGTCGATCTGGACCAGCGCAGTCTGACCAGAAGGCGGAAAGGGGACTTTCGTGGATAAGCCATTCTTTCAAACTCCCGCTGACACGCACTCTAACTTCATCGATCGATTAAAACACCTTCGGAACTCCCAGTTTGTAGTGGACTCAGGGCGAAAATAATATAAACAAAAGTATCAAGGTAGGTAAGGAACGGCTATAAAATGATTGCCAGTAAGAATAAATAAAGCTTAAATATCTGGTAAAGAATTATTCAGACGTATATACATCATTTCGCTCGGAATATATAAAATTTGGCAATCGTTCATGTAATTTCCCCAGTAGTTGTTTTAGGAGATCTAAAAATGCGGACTCATGCCGGAAACCTTACCTTGTGAGAAAAGTATTTCAGAATGAAATGAAGATTCTAATAGCAGCTTACTCTGGCGCTAAATACAATGAGAGCGAAAGATGCCTCGTTTGGTAGATGACAACATTTTAGTGCGACGCATCTATAATAGGAAAAGCGATCTAGATGTTGGCAACGTAGTTTCTAACTTGTCCAACAAAGTCTAAACTGCGTGGTATAGCACAGTGATATTTGTGGTCATAAGTTGTAGTAAAAAGCTTTATGGTCACTATACGCCGGATTGTTACGGCATACAGTAAGGCTTGTGTGCATCACCAGCCATAACCTCAACAATCTGAACGATGTTAACTTCTATTACGCTAGGGTAAAGCACGATTAATAGTATAATCTTGGAACAGCAGGTCTGTGAAAAAATAGGAGCTGGGTGTCCACCCATCACTGAGCCTGAGGTTTAACAGATGCATGGTGGGAACTGGAGTCAGGCAAAAAAGAATTTCATGGAGATTGCCAAAGTAGAGTGTGGAGGCGGTCGAAAATCCTGGAAATCCGGCTATCCGAAATGACAGGGGCCACTCTGACACACGGTTAACTTTCGTCCCAGGTTAAATGGATCTGAAATATTGAAGAGCAAGATGGTGACAATATACGGAAAAGGATGTGATTTATCATTCTACCAATCTACCAGTGTTGACATTAGAAGATGGCGAACGTTCAAGTCTGATAAAAGTTAAGAGATGGTGAAGGCAAAGATGAGGTTAAGTGGAGTGATAAAAACCTGCGTCACATTTGTTGTTTCATCAGAGGAATAGTTAACCAACTATGGGGAATATTATGCTATGGAGTACAGAGAAACGAAGTGAACCGAAACCTTCTAACGCTAGGCAACCTGGTAGCCCAAGTGTAGCAAATAAAACATTAGACATAGCAAAGTAAAATAAATAGGACAGATAAGCAGGATCAGAAGTTAATGTACAAGGTGAGCTCTAAGCCGAGCAGTATTTGGAATGCGGTAGATGGGAGGCTCGACCTGGTATGCGCTAAATCAAACAAGAAGATAAGATTAATCTTAATTCTTCCCAGCTATAATGGTCCTAGCTTCAGCAGTTTACACCGTTGTTGATACTTCAAGGATCCAAACCCTAGTAACCGTTTGGTAAAAGAACGTTGTACTTTTACAAGATTAATTTTCTCGAACATTTTTAATTTGTGAATACTAAAACTGGACGCGCATATGCTTTATGCATAACTAGCCTAGAGTCTGTCAAGCGTAACGTATTGAAAATACATGTTATTATACATCTCGCTTTGACGGTGACATGATGTACCTGTTCGGAGAAATTGAAAGAGCTTGAGTAGCGAACTCCGAGGTCACGAGTCGTTGTGCAGCTGGTAATTGGTTTGGCATCTAGCGTCAGTACGTCATTAATAAGTTTGCATCTGAAGAATAGGGCTTTACATTTGCCAACAGATAATGCCATTTTTCACTCTCGGAACCATCGCTAAAGGGCGAAGAGCTCCATTTGTATTGTTTGAACACCGTTTGATTCATTTATGCTATCAAAGCGAACACAAAGGTGATATCATCCGCGAAAAGAAAGGATCTACCATGTCGAAAGATTCGGAAAATCTCATTCATGTATAGTAAGAATAGCAGTGAGCCTAAAACGATTCCCTGTATGACGCCGCTGGTGTTTACTGCTATAGGTAAATATACGTACTTTTCAGTATGACACATTGGGTGCGTGTAGACAAGAAAAATGACAGCCATGCTAGTAATGGGTTAGCAAACCCACAAGAGGTTAACTTTGTTAGATGTTCTGCATGCGATACGCGGTCGAATGCTTTTTCCATGTCTAAGAAGAGACTAACCATCGACTGCTTTTAGTCAGCCGACTTGGTTACTTAGTCCAGAAATTCAAATTGGCAAGTTTGTCACGAACGACCACGGAGAAATCCATGTTGCGATCTGTCGGTCAGCTTTTGTGAACTAAGAACATGACTCTTCGATTACTCTTTCCATAATACGAGTCAATATGAAAGTATGGCTAAATGGGCAGTAATTTGATAGCTCGTAACTTGGTCTACCTTAGTGTTGGGGTAAGACGGTGGACCGCTTCAATCTAGCAGGGTATACACCAGTCTTAATTGACAAGGTGAATATGTTTAGCAGGAACAGGGGAATATCGGGCCCGGCGAGTTTAAGCAATTCTGGTGGTATGCTATCAGGTCTAGGATGAAAAGAATACTTTAGGGCGGCTATTTGCCTGCTAATACTATACAGGTTGAACTCAACTATATCTTTTGTTTCACTGGTGAGCAGAGGCAATCTTCCATGTGCCACACAGGCGCCTGTATTAAACGACGAGGAGAAATGTTTGTTAAATAACTCACAGAGCTCATTAGGGTCAGTAGTGAGACTGCCGTCTGATGAGGCAATGGTTATAGGTTGTTAACGTTGTGATTCGTATCTGACTCTTACTAAGCGATGTAACATGTGTTTGCAGCTGAGCTGCTAATGCATATACCTCTTGTGACATAAGCTTTCTTTCATGTCGGTCTTACTAGTCCTTGAGTATTTTATCAGTTTATATGATCGCACATAAATCATTCATTTTTTTACACCGAAAGCACAAGTGTTTTAGACGCACCGCAATAGCTTTAGGAATGGGATTTTGAGGACGAGGCAATGGCTGCTTTCTATATTGCAGTGGTGCAAACAGGTCAGATGTTGGTAGAACACGTCAGCTGCGATATCTGGGCAGTCTGTAAGGATAAGCTATCCAAGTCAAGGGATCTACTAATCAGACGGATGCTGTCCCAGTCCAATTTGCGATATGCTCGATATTGGTGGGCATAGTGAGGGTTCGTTGCCGTTATTTGAGCAACCTTGAAGGTTAGTTGGATAACCTTATGATCGCTCCCAGGGAGATTACTAAGAGCCTGTGTTTTTGCATTGGATATGCCAAACGTGAAATACAAGTTTAAAATCTTACTGCCTCTAGTAGGAGAGCATACTTGTTGTGTCCATCCACGCGTGACTACTGACGAAAGAAAATTCCGATACTCAGCAGGTGTTGTTCGTTCCTACCACGAAACATCGGGCAGGTTGAGGTTGCCACCTATAATTTTTTTTGAAAGGACGGTATTTCAGATGCCCATTCGACCAATCCAGTCAATTGATTTAATTTGGCCTTGGTAGCGCCGCGCGGCATGTAAATGCAACCAACAAGAAAACGACAGCATTTAATCTTAGCCTGTATCCAGACCGAGTCCTCGAAGCTGCCTGACGAAGGAGCCTCCAATCTACCCGCTTCTAAAGCATCATTAACGTACACAACGCAAATGCCACCGCGACCAGTAAGAATGCCACTGGTAAAAGTCGTAAAGCCAGGAAGAAGTAGCTCTGTGCACTGCGAACCAAACCATGTTTCCGTTACAAGCACAACATGTGGTCGAGAGAAGGATAATAAGGGTCGTAAGTGATGCATCTTGTTCGCCAGCGATTGAGCATCCGTTAGAAGGAGGTTAACTACATCATTTTGGGATGGACGGCCTACTGCCTCTAACACCAGTTTACTGGGGCTAGAATTCTCTAATACTGTATTTTCTGGAAATTATTGGGAGGTAAGGTCACGCTCAGTTTGTCTGTATTCATCTTTGCCTATATCAAAGGACCTATGGGACCTTAAGTTATGTTATTCCAAGTGATTGGCTGTTTCTTGATATCCCCGGTGTGTCTGCGCTTGATGTGCACGTTGACGAGGTGGTGCCTACCTGTCTATTACCCCCTGGCTACAGGACACAGTTGGTCGTTGCAGGAGGGGATGGGGTGCACGGTCCTTATAGCCGTGCTAGGCTCGAAGAGTGGTTCCATGCACTCAGTGTGGAGCGGACTACGATCCAGCCACCGCCTTGTGTGTGGTTGATTCCCCAAACATGGTGTACTTGGGTTTGCCTTTGAAGGAGTGTGGGCCGGCTCCGTTGATGAAATGTGGCTCCCATCCACATGCTTCCCGGTCTTATTCCTTCTGGTTTACACTGGATATGGGGGGTGCGGTTGGAGCTGTGGGTGGTGCATTGCAAGCCACCCATGATGCCTCTATAGGCGCAAGCGTCCTGTGGCTGTCCCTGTGGAGGCCACGGTGCCAGGCAAATCCGAAACCGGCTGCCGCCAACCATGGGACATTAAGCCATTGTATGGGATGCGATTTACAGAGACCATGGCGCAGGCCACGGATGATGAAGCATAGTCTGTTGTTACGTGGTGGGAGTGGAAGCTGGGCTTATTATATATGTGTAAGGAGGTTTGTGGCAGTGTACAGGGCTTGAAGAACCATTTGGTACATTCTGCATCCCTAAGAACTGGTTGATATTCGGCGGGAGGAGGTGAGGTAGGAATGGTGGTGGGTTCCCCAACGTAGGCATTTGCATGTCAGCCGCATGTTTCTAGTGGTTCTCCAAGGGTATAAACATATTGCGATGATCGACTACATGACTGAGTGGATACTCACAATGTGGTATGGGTTGTGGGAGGGAGATTCCATGTGAGGGTGCAGTCTTGCTCCTGTAGTTACCTTCATGGCAAAGATAAGCATCTGTACCCATGCAGAACGGAAGGAGGAGAAGGAGTGGGTACACGATTAGTTGGCAGATCACGAACCCGTTTACGAATTGGGATAGCCCTGATCTTGGGAGAAGCGGTCGAACCATTTGTAAATGAGTTGAGTAGAGATGCCCTTTGGTTTGCCTCTGGTGTCTTTCGGAAGGTTGTTAAAGACTGTTTTCTTTGATAACTCTGATCATAGCCATTTTTGTATGAATCCCATGAGATTTTTGGTCTGATCCAACAATCTTTGCAGCAGCCTTGGACATTTAGGGCTTACTGCCTGGTTGGCCTTTAGTTTTACTACCTATCTGGTAAGCAAATGGCATGTTGCACTGTGGCGCTTGTGGTCTATTTTGCACTAATTTATGCCCGACAGTGATTTTGGCGTTTATAGGTATGGTATCCACATGCTCATTGTCACTAGACTGTCCACCCAGTGGCTGTGCAAACTTATTGGAGCCTGAACTGCCGCTGTTAGTGGGGACAAATTTAATATCATTCTGAGGACTATTAGGAGAAATCTCACTTGAAAGCTGAACTGGGTCCGTGTCACACATACTGTCTATTCCTGAGGAAGCTGTTTTGGACGGACTAGATGGTGCCGATTTTATAGGTGCAACACCCACGGTGGGTGGTACATTGGAGTGGTTATTGTCAAGGTCCACTTCGGCATCTAGGCTTACGTGGCAGTGCATATTTCCAGGAGTATGTTCTTTCGGGTCTACCAGAAGATCGTCTACTTCGAACCACTTCCCTTTGGAGTGGTGTCTCTTCATGTTTACGAATTATCCTTTCGAACTCGGGTCTTGTGACTGTAAGACTTTGAGAGCGAATGATCTTTTCGGCATTTGCTTCGTCAGAAAGCTTGAATACGACCGGGCAGCAATGCTTAGGCGAGTTCTTTACTCGTATGGATGTACAACCTCGACCTTTTCTACGGTTTCGACTTTGATCTTATCAGGCACATTGAACGTGAGTACATTTTTCTGACGGCGTGTACGTTCACAAGCTTCTGATACAAATGTAGAGATGAAGTATGAAACCTTGTGCAGTTACTCTAATTTGGGTTTCTCAGGCATACTACACAATTAGGAGAAGGGACGCAGCAGGTTGCAGAAGTCATCTATTGCCGAGAGCTTTTCATTGATGGATTTGACGTTCTTTTCAATCCGAACGACTCTGTTGTATACTTCTGTGGGGCTGTTGGTAGTAGAAGCTAAACGATCTTTGTGATTTTTAGGAGTTTCCTTAGGTTTACGTACTTTTACAGCTTTTTAAAAAAACCTTTAAATCTTCGTTATCTGGTAACAGCGCATTTGTGGCCGAGTTGTTCATCCTGGTGGTTGGCAATACCAGGGAAGATAAAGCAAGTTGATCTATCTCCACAATTTTGCTAGAGCCCCTTAAAGTTCACCGGTTTGGTAACACTGAACCTTTCTTCTTTGCGGCTGGTGTTTTAGTAGTCATCGATAGAGTGGGCGATAAATGGAGTCGATATAGCAAACGTAAAGGAAATGGGTTGGGTAGCTGGGAAGGAATAAGTGCGACGAAATAAGGGAGAAAGGGGAAGTGGAGTACCAGGGTTGCAGTGCAGTATGAATACACTAAGCCTATGCCTATAGACTTGTAGAATTGTTCAAAAAGCGGTTAAACAATAGAAACCAACCGTTTAGCAAATTCCCCATAAATACAATGCACCAAGATATCCAAAAAAGAATCCTGGAAACAGCATCGGAAGTACGACTGGGCGCATCCAGAGCGTCCAGTAGAAATGTGTCTCCAAGCCTCTACTTTTGTCTTCATATGTGTTGTACATGTGCTCCGGAAGTCTCCACTTAATGATGTGTGGTTCGACGCAATAATTAGCTCATGCAGCCGTACTTATACGTGTCGGGTACCGGTCATTGCTCCATGGAAGGCATTTTTAGCTCCATATTTTTGCACACACACGCCCACTCTCAGTGTAGACCGAGCTGTCTTTCGGTGTTTTCTTCAGCCCTCTTGATACGTTGCTTCTTTATCTACCCTGCCCGCTCTTTCTCCTCCGCCAGGTTATACTAGTTAATAAAGTTCTCGGAATAATTGCCGGGACTCTTCTACAGGAGCATGAAGTACGCCGTCATTGGTTCCATCCGATGCCTTTCGAGCGAATCTTTATCATGCTGTTTGTCGAATTGCATTCTTCATCTCAGCTTTCCACACGCGATCCATGTGAGTCGCAAACTGAAGCAGTGATCGAACAACGTCAAAGTGAATCAGACCCCGCAACTTCCGAAAGAGCCTCTGGCTCCAGTGATGCTTCATTAAGAAACACAACTCGAGCATTATCGAACTTGAACCTTCAGCAGCAACTTCCTCTGATTTTCTGTCACTTGCTTCATTGCTTGCGCCCAGAAAAAGCCACTGCCTTCGTTCTTTCCTGGCTGGAAATGCTGGCACATCGCTGGTTTGTTAGTCGGATTTTAGCTTCTCCTGTTTCACCCCAGTTGCGATCTGCCTATCAGGCCATGTATGCGCAAGTGTTGGTTGATCTTTTGAAGTTCCTTGGGTATTTTTTGCAAAATGCCCTTATGCCAAAGCCCATCCAGTGTTTGTACAAGGCCACTTTGCGTCTGTTCCTCGTACTCATTCACGACTTCCCGGAGTTCGTCTCTGACTACTACGCTCTGTTTTGCGATGTCGTTCCGTCGAACTCTATACAAATGCGGAATCTCATTCTTTCTGCACTTCCCAAGCGTGGAATCCCTTCAACAGATCCACTTCAGGTAACTTTGTTGTGCATTTGTCCCTTCTGTATGATTTGACGTTCCCAGCCCGTAATGACGTTTGATTAAGTGTACTGCTTCAGTGTCACCTCTCGCACTCTGCACTCCATTTTTTTTCGTTTTCGCTGCCAGAAATTATATTTTTGTTTCTTGTATATCTAGGCACCCCCGGTCGACAATCTGGCTTCTCTTGAAGATCCAACTGGGTACTGCATGGATGCTGGATCTCGACTGCCTGAGCCCATGCGCAGTGAGCTAGACGCTTATTTGGCCACCCGTGCTCCTGTTAAACTCTTAAGTGAGCTGGTCACCATGTTGAGACGGGCAGATGATATCCTACCACCTTTGCCACCATCGCAGTTCGCCTATCATCCGCAGCAGCAGGCTCGACATCAACAGGCGCTAGCGGCCTATGCAGCTGCTCTAGCTGCAAATGACCCCGGTGGCTCCTCAGCGTCACTACAAATGCATACCGGCCCTAGAGCAGATGTTAAACCCATCTCAACAGACGCCACGGTGATCAATCCGTCCGGTAGACCGACTGCAGGCGACTCTACCGGTTTCTCCGAACCAACTGAAAGCAATGTCTTTACTGAAGGAGTTGGAGAACATTCAGCTGCTCGTTCAACTTCCGGAACTGTCAGTTCCAGTGCCGCAGCGGCTGCCCTCCTTTGGGGCGTGCGTGCAACCCAACAGTTGGCAACGTTTGGCTTAGCGGATGGGATGCATTACAATGTGGAGTTGATGACCAATCTAGCTCTGTATGTCTGCATCACCGCCATACGTAACTTGAGAGACAAGGGTATGCCGTTAAACATGAGTACAATTGCGCATACTCCCCAGATGGACATCATCCAGAGCTTGGTGCTTAATTTGGACAACGAAGGTGCGTTTATCCGCTTCTGATTATTACCACTTGGGTAATCGTGTTTTTGCTCACAATTTTTCATCCAGTTTCGAAGTTGGGCAGACGTTAGGTGCTGAACCGCACGTTGTTTGTCTCTGAGCGCATGTTGTTCGAGGTCCCTATCTGCATTTTTTCAGTCCACACACTCCGTTTGTTTCATCATCTCTTTCGGACGGTGTCAATACAGCTGTCTACCTTTTCATTTACAGGTCGTTACCTTCTGTTGAACTGCATGGCAAATCAATTGCGGTATCCGAACTCGCACACTTATTACTTCAGTTACACGATTCTATATCTGTTTTCCGAGCAATCCAAGGAGCAAGTCAAGGAGCAGATTAGCCGTGTTTTGATGGAGCGACTGATCGTGAATCGTCCACACCCTTGGGGTCTTTTGATGACAAGCGCAGAGCTCTTGCGCAATCCTGCATATCGGTTCTGGGAACACGAATTTGCTCGGTGTAATCCCGAAATTGAAGCGTGAGTCTCATTTCTTTTCATAATGTTATATTTCATTTCTTTTTGGATGCGCTACTCTCCATTGCACTCGGACACATTATACCTGTAATTTTCACTATTAATCTTGGTAAGTTGGACCTCAATCTGTCTCGAGCGGCTGAACCATTGGGGTTAACGGCATAGTTCCCCCACTCGTGCAATCATCTACTTTCCGACCATTGATGAGCAGCAGATACTGTCATCAAAACTTGTCGCTATGATTCTTACATCAGCAGCGTCCTCAACAAATTGACAAATAAAACGCACAATCCGTGCACATGATACGATCGTAAATGAGTCAAGGTACAAGGAGACTAGAACCGCGGGTTGCAATGCTTAACAGGTTGATATTAGAGATAGGAGCACCATAGGTCAGCCTGCTGTGTCCTATCCGACCGACTCTAGTGTACACATTAGCATTAGCAAGTCGCCTAACTTCTGGTGTTTCCTCCATTTCACTTCCGCTCTGAGGTTTCACGGCTAGCTTGGACGGTGTGAAGAATAGGGCTTACTAGCATGCAATGTTTGTATTCGAAAACCATCCGTTACCAAGCCGCAACTGCAGACGGTATCATTACTCCTGGCCCTGTACGACCAATCGGTATGAGCAGCGTTACGCATGCGCCGGTGGTCAGAGATAGGTAGCCCCTCAATTCTCCATTCTGTAGTTGTGGTTTTAGGCACCGAACTTTAACCGACACTCCACCATCTCCATCACGTTCACACACACCCTGCCTGTGGGCATAATAACTTCTCCGGGGACTCATTTCCCCTCGTCATCTGACTACCCTAGATTCATGAACCGATTGATCACTTCGAGTGGTCCACTCATGGAAGAGAAATGTGTTAGACCGGCCGCACGGCTGTACATTTGAGGTGCAAACTGCGCATCCGAATATGTACAACGCTGTGGGTTAGACCTCCAAATATTCTCTACGCACTGTGCGTTTGTCAGCTGGCATCATCGCAACGAGACTGGACTCTAACGTGGTGTGATGGTTTGTCTGCCTCCGCGATCCATCGAGCCACTCACATCAGATTGGTCGGTAGTTAGAGGTCAAACCAACAGTCTCCTTGCCATCCAGGTTAGGGGTTGGAGTGGAGTGGCTCATTACTCGATAAAACGGACACTCTATAGCCCAGTGCCGAAACCCAGCCGCCTAGCGGTCAGGTTTTTGAACCAAAGGCTCTGATTGAGAACCCTAATCGTTCTCCTGCTTAGGCCTGTGTAACCTGCTCACGCAATACAAAGTATTCCTCTTCTAACATTTTCTTGATGTATACTGTGGAACCTTCGAATCCCCGCAGCATAGCAATTGTGTCTAATTTTTAGACAATGGTTTTACTCGCAAAATGTTCCGCGCTCGTTTTTGTAGATAGCCTTGAGTGTTGTTTACAACCAGTTGGGAAGTATTTGCGATCCTCCACATAGAGTTGGAAAGATAAGCTAGACCATTCACAAGTCCGTCTCCGCCCCTCAGCAGCGATAGAGTTTGTCTTATTCTGCTCGTCAAAGTTTTTGTCTAATCAACCAACTCTAGTTATTTATCATGTTTTTATAGCTCATTATTCAACTTCTCAGCATACCATTCCTATGCTCCAGTTTATTTCTGCGTGGATGTATAGTTACTTGTCCGTTACCATTCACTTGCACGGCTTATCCAATCTGTTGTTTACCTGCTTCAGCATCGTCACAATCGTGGCACGTAGCTGTATTCCCAATTTTCAAATCCCGACTACCCCGCCGTCCAGCTCTGGTGGTTCGACTTGCATCCGAAATGCTCTGGTTGCATCATCCGTTTCCTCCACTGGCGATCGCCGTCGACAAGCCTCTCCCTTTTCTCGAGGTAGCCCAACTGTAAATGATGCTGGCCCATCCTCTGTGCGTGCTCCTCGTGCCTTGAACTCGTTCATCCCCGGTTAACAGAGTCTGTATGCAGTTGTCGGTTGCTTTGGCTGCATCGTTGGACTTCTGTAGGCCTCTTACCCTCGTTTCATACTGTTCAAAGCTGTGTAAACATCCTTCTACCTGAGCTTTCACATCACAAAACGTCCACATCCCACCATCATCTGATCAGTGTACACTGATTCCATCTGTTTCAAATGTTCATCTCTCTCGCGCACCCACGCTGTCCTTTGTGTTTTACTTGCTCCCGCAGTCCTCCTCGCCGAAACGCCCTCTTGAAGAGACACCACCACCACCACTCCTGTCCATGTCAGCCTCTCTCTTATGGGCGGCTCACTTTCTGTCCAATTTTCGCAGATGTCTAAACAGCTTTTCTATTGTTTTTCTTCTGTTTCATTCGCTATACAGTCTGTCATCTGCACTTTAACTCAGGCTAAACTTCAGCAGTTGTCCAAACAGCAGTGGAAAAATCCGATACTATTCTTAGAGGCTATCCATGGATCACCCGATCGCTGTTTTTCTGCACGGTTCCTGTTGATGATACTCGTGTCCAGGTTTGTGGGGTTATTGTGCGCACTAGCGTTGACTTACAGCTTCATGATTGCGTATGTAGTGAAATCATTTTCGGGATTGCATCTTGCGCGTTTACCAACCCCCTCTGTTAGCTAGGGCCTTCTGGCGTGTATTTGTGGTAGTGACCTCCAACCCTCTGTTACAAGTTCCCTAGTGTATCTGATTTTTAAACATTCCACTGCGCGCTACTAAAGACCCGTCAGACTAATTGGCTAGTCACCATTGCCAACAAACTGCGCATGTTCACCCGATACGTGTTTCTGTCATGAAACCCACCTTGGTTCCATCATTATTTTAATATCGAATGAGCTAAACTAATTTCTTCCATTCAATTTTCCACTGAGTTATCCTACGAACGATGTGCATCACCAGGTTCACACTGATGTAGCACAAGCAAATGTTTGAGGAGCCATTGTATAGATATCCCAAGCGGATTTGTTTTACCATTACTATGATCAAAAAGCTGTGCCGCTCGTCATGGGCAACCGGCTCTTGGGATTTGTGAGGAAAGTAGCCAAATGGGATTATGAGCTTTTCTGCCAACAGTATCTGGGAATGTTTTCCTTTGCTTACTTTGGTATCGAGAAATCTCGTACTTGACGCAATAGCGATCAACTTACCGTGTTGCCGAAGTGGCCGTCCGGGAATTCGCTCGGTGGTGTCAGTACTTCCAACGAAGAAAGTACAACTGCAAAGTCATAATCGACACTTGTGTCCATTATATGGGCAAAACTGGTAGGACACCGCGAATTGAGGGATGTGCTATAATTTGTTCGATTTAAGATTACCATTCACTCCTGTGATTCTAGTTTTGTTTACGTAGTTAGCATGCTTCTCAGATGTAGGCATTTGCTTGTTACCCTGCAAGTGATTGGGGTTAGTTTCACGCTCGAGGCTGCTATGCCACACTATTCCTTTTATCGTTTTCATCGAGTATTTCGCGACAGACTATTAGGTGGGCATTATGTTTACTGATAGCTATCGGTCCACCTTAGTACGACAGTTTTGCTGTTCCCGTTAGTGTCTGGGGACAAACTTCACTCTGGTTAACCTGTTGCATTTCAATCGGCCAGTGATTCACACAAATTTTAACCCGCAAAAACCCGGATATCCGTTCTAGGATCATCATCAACAACAGCGGTTCATTAGTAATTTGAACTGTTGCTGTACAGCTATGATCACTTGTGAAATGATGAATACTATGAAGGCGAGATTAAGGATCTAGTGTAAAACCCAAATGCGCCAGACAAACTTTCTGGACCAATACACCTGCATTTTATCAACAGCATACAATCACAACTATCTTGTTATCACGCGAAGTTAAGACGACATCGGCAAGATCGCTTCCCTGTGGTTCTCACTACCCCGCCACCTAATCGGTTTCACCGGACACCGGTCTTTGTGTACCCAGCCCTCTTCGGACGATGTGTTTTTTGGAAACCATCACGGTTAGTGACCTCGCATGGCATGTATTTGCTCGGGACACGTTCTGTAGTTTCAACGTATTCCCGATTATCTATTATTTAGGTTTATTTTTGCTCAGTTTGATCCTATATAGCACCCTCATCACGACGCAATTATTTTCTCCTTTCAAGGTTCTCTAATGAGTGAAGTATAGGAAAGTGGCGATAGGGCGGGGACTTTCTTCCGTTGATATTTCTGTGGTCTTTAGGTGATCTAAGTGACGTCGATAGTGAATACGGATTGGAAGCATCAAGAAGAGATCTCTCTGTGTAGCTACATCTAAAATCACTCAGGTACAAAGACCTGTCATGTTGGAGAGCGTTTGAGATATTTCATATCGGCAAAATATTTGTCTAGAAGTTTCTTGAATTCCGACACCGACCTTGCCTCGACTACATGCTGCGGCAGGTTGTTCCATGCATTCACCACTCTCGATCCGAAACAGTGTTGGTGAGCGACGCGCTTCAAATCCGGTACTACCAGCTTGTATCGATGTTTTCGTGTGCGGCTTGGTGTACGCATTTGCAGCAATGGCCTAAACCGGTCTCTATGAGACGGTTCCACGGATAGCCGTACTAGTTCACGAACTTTTTTAAATAACCACTTTCATTGAAGATTTGAGCCGAGATAAAAGTGACAATGAACCTAGTAAAACAGAATCAGACATCATTAATGAAGTAAGTGCCAGCGAATTACAGTCGAAAAATGAATCAGAGTACTGTCAGAGAGAAACCAGTGCCGAAAGGGAATGAATGTCAACCAGACACACCTTTGAAGGCATTTGATTTATTCTTACATGATACGATGATAGCAGACAAACCAAGAAATTACAAATATGAACCGCAACAAGTGTGAATGACATCTGAGCATTCTTAGGTGCCACAAAGAGCTCCAGCGAATGCACTGCAAGTACTTGGGCGAAAGATAACACTGACAAGCCGATTTTCATGTCAGTGATGTCTGGAAGGTTTTTTGTTTCTTTTGTACTTTTCGATGACTCCATCACGGAAGCCCTGCAAAGATCTCATGTGCTTGCACAGTGGATCAGTCTCACTTTACATCCCGAGGAAGTTGTAGTTTCATGCAATATGTACAAAATACACTCAGTAGATATGACACCAAGATATGTGTACTGACAAGACGTTCTACACGGTTTCTTGCAAAGTTTACGTAAGGGCAAGTCCCAACGCAAACTATTTTGGATTTAATCCCAACAATTTTGGAAACAAATAAAAACATAACTACCGGCAACTATTACACCTCAATTCCTCTGGTTAAGGGGCGAAAATTTCTGGTTGACACGAAAAACTACTAAGCCTGCATTCCACTCAACTGTTTGGCGAAGCCAGAGAAAACAGTTCAATACGGCTTGGATCGCGCAAACAGTTTTACTCTCTTCTCCATTGTTCCAAAGGAGGATCGTAATATGCATTCCCAAAAAAGGGCTAGTGCAGATACTAGGAAAAAGGAGATAAGTGCGTTTTACAACCAAGAGGAAGAGTGATGTGGACAGCCATAGTCAACTGTGCAGCAGTTACACCGCAGCAAGAAAAACAATTCGTTGGCTAATGATGACCTTTTATGCAGTGGTTGAATGCATTTGTTATTTTTATTGAAAAGATGCCCAACTTTGGAGAACGTAAGAAAGGCAAACACCATCATCATACACGTTAGCCAGAGGTGGGGAACACAACTACTGTGCCGCAATACACAGCAAAAAGGAGAAAAAAGAATGCAACTGGTGCAGGACGGCTGAGCTACCGGTAAAGGATGGGCATCGTTCTGGTAAGCTACTAGCCGGCTGCTGTGCATCAGAAAAAATTGCTATGCAAAATTATGTAAGGCTAAATAATGAGATCCTGGTTGGAGCGGGAGGTTAAGAGGGATGGGGTTGGACAAAGAAACTCACAGCACGAACGCCACTGAGGTCGGCTCCTTGCCATGTCAGCAAGTGTGTCCAACCAAACGTGTTCAATGTCTTTCGGACCCGAACCAGGGAGCCGAGACGCTGCAACCGAGGCCAGCTCAGAAGTGAGGGCCTTCATTCCTCTGGACCAAGTCACCGCTTGGCCACCCCTCCTCTTCTTCCATCCACACCCCCGGCGCGCAAACGACGCACATCGCGGGAGTCGGTGGGCTGGCTTGCGTAACACGTGGCTGAGCCATCGGAGCCTGATGCGTGAAATAACGGTGCTGAGCGGTTCATTTCCTTTTCCTGTGCCGTAAACAAGGCGTCGAACAGGCTCGTTGCTCACGCGGTGTTCCCACCAGATGTGAGCTAGATTGCGAAGGCACCGGTGGTCGAACGTAACTAGCCTCTTCAGGTCTGTTGCTTTAAGGGTCAAACACCAATAGTTCTTGAAGAAACTGGCCATTGCTTTGATAACTCCACACCCAAGTCAACCATTGGAAATGCAACACGTGTCGAAAGATGTCCAATAGGTTATTCACAGTTGTGACATTGCACCAGAGGTGCCCACACTATCCGCAAACAACACACAACCTCATCCAGGGCAACGCAAGTGATGCTCTATTTGTGTCAGCTAACTTGACAAATAAACCAGACTAGTCTGTAATGAGTGCAATAAGTTTGTGTACGTAGAGCTAACCACGCGATTATGCGGCCAATGCCGACAGTAACATTTTGCCTACAGCCGAGTGCAAACACTATTGTGAGAAAGTGCTCTTATTATATATAGCATGTTTTTTCATGGGTCGAACTGACCCCATGGTACCAAGGATGTGGCTTTTTTCAGGATACCAGAGCAAGGTTAAACAGCCAGTCTGGCTAGAAGTTGACGACAAACACACCCTTGATGCTGGCTGTGAGGCATGTTCTGTAAAGTCTTGACCCAAGCACAAAACTGATCGCGTTGACTCCAGCCTCGAAGGAGAGACATACCAACAGCACCCGGTTTGGTCTTGGGGGACTTCGTTTCCCATTGCCGTTAACCTTTGCCAACCGGTACCTTGCGCTATCCAACATTCGGCAGACGAAACGCCTTCCAAAGTCCCTTCTTTACCTTTTCTAAGTCTACTGCATCCATAGCGCCTTCAAATTCCTCCTTAAGGAAATCATGTTCCTCCAATGATCTCTCAAAATGGTCCTTAGCACTAACAAACTGCATCCACCCGGCGTGGACGCTTCTATATGCTCCCAAACCGGCCAATAACATCCCACTTTGTGTACTGTGGGGGATCTGGGATGGATCAGTCAACGAACTCTACGTACATTTTAGGAGCGTTGGCACCCATTGGATACAGTTCGATAGCATTAAGGACTATATCGAGAAACCTATAGAGGAACATGATTTCCTTAAGGAGGAATTTGTAAGCGCTATGGATGCAATTGACAGAGGAATGGTACAGAATGATCGTGCCTAATTAAC